CTGAACCCTGGCATGTGCAATCCCTTATTTCACAGGCTTTAACTGTAGCAGCACCACGCAACTTAGCCCTCTTAGGATTTAGACCTCAAGGTTTACAACTGTGTAAGATCTTAAAAAAGATTTCCTGTCTCCCATTCCCACTTTCTGAGAGGTTAATTTGCAGCATAACGTCCCTCAGTCTGTGGAGAATTTTACAAGAGTAGGATTTTTATTGAACACTCCTTTAGCCTTTTAGTGCACAGCCCTCTGACATGCTCCTCTTTGTCTGAATTCCTGAAAGAAAGTATTTGTAGTCCAAAGGTTCTGAAACAGTTGTTTGAAAAAGGGCTGCTTCTATCCTCATGTTTAGCTCTTAGCACTGCTGTCCATGTACAGGAACAACTAGCAGTTGACATATGAATTCCTTATGCAAGTCCTGTCTTGAATTTTTCTACCTTCACCCTTTCTCTGCCTAGTCTCAAGAAATCCACCTTTGTATGCAAGGGGAAAGAACTAAAAGCAGAAAGAGAGCTCTGGGAACACCACAAATTTGAAATTTGTTTAGGAATCATGACAGAAGGTGACAAGACAGATGCAGATTTCAGGGACATGTGACACGTGCTATCTTAAAGACATTTTTGCAAACTTGTTGCCTTTTTTCCCTGTACATCAATAAAAAGTTTATTTCTAGAAATACCTTTCCACATCTCTGATGCAATGTGCGGAGCCATAGGTGCAACCATGATGCAGAGTGTAGACAAAGCATCTTCAAATTCTGCGCTGTGGAGAACAAGACGCTGAGAAGCTTGCTAAACGAAAAGACAGAAGGAAAAGAAAATAAATTGTTAATATAAATATTCTGGGGTGAGGTGGGAAAGTAGTTTAATTATGAAGAAAATGCAGTAATAAAACCTAAAAATCCATGTCTATGCTCAGGACAGCAAAAGTTCATAATAAGTTAGAAACTTATGAAAAGTTCTTGAGAATTAAAATCACAACTCTTGGTCACAGAGTGCTCTCTAACACTTGGAAGCTAATCCCAAAGAGGCTGATGCAGACCCTTGGGGATCTGCTCTGCCATGGGAATCTGGACACAGACACGTGTGGACAACTGCGGCCCTCAAAAACATTTTGTGTGCTGCCAGTTCTAGAAGTGCAATCTTAGATAAAATCAGTGCTATCTGAGAAGAGGTGAAGTACTTGTATAAAAGAGCCTAACTGTGATGAATGCAGCATGGTTTTTGTTGGGACAAGGCTCAGTTGTACAGGAACCTAGAGTGGCGTAAGTAAAGCTGAATTTACTGATGAAGTGAGGTTGTAGAGCTGAAGGAAGGTTTGGGAATGAAAAAGCGCAGTACAGCTTTTTACAGTTTGATGTTCAGATTCCTTTAGTAAAGTATTCAGCTTCTCTAATACAGCAAATATTTGATTTCTTGCAAAAGATGCTAGACTGAAAATCTGAACCTTCACTCCTCTATTTATTCTATCTTAATAGAAAAGATATAGCACTGAAAGTAGCTGGATAAATTTTTTTCTTTCTTTGCCTGTTCTGACTCAGAAAAATTACATCCCCGGTACATTCAGATTCTGTGTTTATTTTGTAATTTGCCACTCTAATGAAACTGCACAGAAAAACGTCAATACACGTCAGCTTATGAGAATTATTTGGTGGGTGTGATGAACACCCATTCCTGTCTACTAGAAAATTCTCCAAACCCAGTGATTTGTTCGACACATACCACAAATGTTGTCAGATGGCATTTTCTTAGCACTGATACTAATGAGGTCAGTGCAAACTAGATTTGAGTAAGTTTTGGTAACTACTACCTATTTTCTATATTTAATCTTCACCCACCTCCCCACTTCCTCCTTTCAAATGGGACTGAAAGAGGAAGTGTCAGCATGCTATACAGAAATTTGTTCTTCAAAGATATTACACTTACTTCTTTGGTCAAGAAATACGTCACTGTTCAAACATCTGGCTGTCAGTAGGAGACTGATTTTTATTTATATGTTTTTGAACATTCACTCATCACCAGCCCCAAATGCATATGAATCACTGAGCTGGAGATAAAGAACTGTGTGTCACCTTCCCAACACGACTCAGTATTCCAGACTTAAATTATCTCAGTACAGCACTTGTGCACACCCTGTTTAACTTTTTGTTAAGTTCCTTGGCTTTGCCAATAATCTCCTTGGAATCCATAAGGTATAAAATGGTATTTCAATAAAGTAGTTGAAAAATCCAAATTTTTTATTGGATTTCTTGTCTCGATCAGGTTACCATTATATGCCTGAAGGATTGCTCAACCAGATCTAAGAGCAGTAACAAAAATAACGTTAATAGTTTATTATATTTGATATATTGTCACTGGCTGATAAACAACATAATCTAAGTAAAACGTGCTAAAGACTTAAGTTATTTTTACTTTTTTTTTTAAATGGAGAACTTGCAAACTCTATTACTAGCAGACATTTCAGTGGTGAAAGCTGTCTCTGAGGAATGTAAGATTATGTGTGATTTTCCTTGCAAAGTATAACCCTTTTCTTTAAATCAGAATGTTTGGTAATTCCATAATGTAGCTATACCTAGCTACCTATGCAACTTGGTTAAAAAAATCAAAAGAGAACAAAGAACAGAGCTAAACAAAATGTATCCTTTTTGTAATTACAGGATGCAGATGTAAACATCAGAACCTAGTGGCTCTAATACCATCAAGCTCTTCCTGCAAAACCGTGTATTTCAGGGTGACAGTGATACTAGAACATGCTGCTTTTGAACTGCATAATTCAACGAGGCTCTCAGCTTAGTAGCAATGTTTATGACAGTAAATGACTTATGGAAAGCTGGACCTATAGCTCAGGCTATACCTATATACACACAAAGCTCCTGCTTTGTATAAAGACTTACAGGAACAGGGTCTGAGAGAAAAATACCTTCATTAATAACATGTACTTACATGGAGTATGTTAGTGAGGCTCATCAATCGGGAAATAGCTGCATTGAACAAATGGTCCTTTGTGAAGTACTCTGTTACCTTGTATTAGAAGAAAAGGTCCATCACTAATTAGTTAAAATTCTCAAACACAGAGTATTGAGTTTTTAAATGAAAAAGAATTACTGATAATCAATTTCAATTTGTGAAATATGCCTATCTTACCTGAAAATCACTTGGGCATGCAAACGCATCATATATGCAATCACATGTGTGCATGGGAAAAATAATAATTATAAAATTCAGTTGACTAGCTTTCCCTCTGTTTCAGGATTTTAAAAGCTTCAATCAATGCCAATGAGAACTGTGTATTAGTAATCACTCTCTATTTTCTTTAATAAAATATCTTCCCTTTGCCCCTACAAGAGGCCTTCATACTTGTAAATACCATTATGTTGGTGAAAACTTGTCCGTAGATTACAAGATTATTATTCTAAAGTCTGTTAAAAGACCTGGAAGGTCCCTCACCACAGGGTTTAAATCAGGAAAAGTTTTTATCTGTAGAAAAGTATTTTAAGTTAATTTTGCACATATTTGTCTCCTTCTGAGTCTTGGATAATTGAATTGACACTAATCACAGCATGAGACAACACATAAGAGATCAACAATCATTTCAGTAATTTTTTTTTTTTAAGGATACGGTAATATATTTTCACCAACAACTTTTTTTTTCATTCTATATGAAACAGCAGGCATGATAATGAGGTGTGAAGCAAACAGACCAAAAGCTTTTGTTAGGGATAACCTGCATAACTCACCTATAGCTTTGTTACTAGAAACGGAGTTACTTGAAACCCAGATTGATAACATTTTACTGCCATAACATTTCATCCTTTAAATGAGGCACACAGTAGAGAAATTTTGCCAATCCAAATCTCACTACTTTGCAAAAAGGTTCTGTCCCATAGAATTTGTAGGTAAATAAAATTACTTATACAGAGAATAATTCACTTAAAAATTATAAGCTACTCATCTGGGGAAAAAGCTTTTGGCTCTGTAAGTCAAGCACATGGTTTTAGTGTAAGCAGCAACTCATTTAGTCATTTACAAACTATGTAAGTGTTTCTTTTAACCTCAGAAATCACCAGATTCTTCTGCTCCCAGATCTTTCTGGCTTCAGCCTTCTCTTTCTTATTCAGAAGCTCAGGATTGGGCATGGTTCCTGAAGTTCTTGCTTCAATAAGTTTGGTTACTAGCATCCAGAGGCGCGTCTGCCATCTCTGAACGCCTGGCATAGCGTCAGCTGAGATTAATGAAAGATTGCAGAAACAAATTTCAGTTACAATGAATGAATCCAAAATTTTGAAGAAAGCCAGAAAGCAAACTGAACTCTGGAGTTAATTTTTTTTTTTTAAACATCTGTATTTTAAAGGAAAAATGTCAATGCACTTAAAAATGCCTTTACAAATAATGCTGGGTTGCCTTAATGGAAAAAAACCAATAAGATTAAACAGAAGTATTTTTCTGCAATGACTTTAAAACATACATACGGCAAGAATATTTGCTAAGTCTGTAAAATAATCCAGTGTTATGTCCATGGCTGCTCTAAGAATGTGGTTCTATGACCCAGGGACTGCGCTACAGAGAGGCTCCAAGCTACTCCTGCTCACAGCCAGGTCCTCCCTATGGTGCGGTGCAGAGTCACTAGTGAAGGTATGGCTTGAGGTGCAGCACTGATATGGCTTTAGCAATTTCTTCCAGACGTGTCGTGTTTCTACTAGACTGCACAGCACTACATTACTCTGCACTGCACAGTATTAACATATCATAAGATGTCCCAGCTGGCAAGAGCTTCCAATTCTGCTCCGGCAACTGCACTTGAAAAGACTGCCAGGGCTACTACTAAACTGGGAGAAGTTAAGGAGATGTGAGTGACTGTAATACAGGTGGATTATCTGTCTGATTACACTAGATGAAAGACTTCCTGCACATCTGGGAACAGTAAAATACAACCTGATTGACTATGTCTGCACGATCCTCAGAAACTCTCATAGGTGGGACTGGGAGTATGATGCTCTCGCCAAACTTTCCATCTCCTGCTCATACCAGAAGCATGTAGATCATCTAGACATGGTACGCTTAGCAGTATCCAGACTGTAGTAATGGTGTAATAAGCTGCTGGATAAGTTTGACCACATTTGGTCCTGCATAGTCTGGAAGATTGCTTGCCCACACCAGGGGAGAGGGGAGAAAATGACAGGATGCCCTGCCTTCACATCCACCACAGAAAAGACAAGGAATCTAGCCCTCAAATGGCTATCAAAGCACATCCAGTGAAGAGAAGGATCATGGCAAGACCCAGTATTTAATATTCTCTAAATAAGACAATTTTCTGTATTGGGTTTTCATGGCTGGGTTTTGGTAGCGAGGAGAGGCATGTACAGGAGTGGCTTCTGTGAGAAGATGCCAGAAGCTTCCCCTATGCCTGACAGAGCCAATACCAGCTGGCTGCAAGATGGACCCGCTGCTGATCAAGGCTGAGCCCATCAGCGATGGTGGTAGTGCCTCTGGGGTAACAGAGTTAAGAAGGGGAGGGAAAAAACCCACCAGGAGCAATTTGCAGCCAGAGAGAGGAGTGAGAATACATGAGAGAAACAACTCTGTAGACACCCAGGTCAGTGCAGAAGGAGGGGCAGGAGGTGCTCCAGGCACCGGAACAGAGATTCCCCTGCAGCCCCTGGAGAAGATCATGGTGAGGCAGGCTGTTCCCCTGCAGCCCATGGAGGACCCCACACCACAGCAGGTGGAGGCACCTGAAGGAGGCTGTGACCCTGTGACAAGCCCATGCAGGAGCAAGCTCCTGGCAGGACCTGTGGCCCCATGGAGAGAGGAGCCCACGCTGGAGCAGGTTTGCTGGCAGGACTTGTGACCTCATGGGGGACCCACGCTGGAGCAGTCTGTCCCTGAAGGTCTGCACCCCGTGGGAGGGACCCACGCTAGAGCAGTTCATGAAGAACTGCAGCCCGTGGGAAGGACTCATGCTGAAGAAGTTCATGGAGGACTGTTTCCCATGAGAGGGACCCCACGCTGGAGCAGGAAGAAACAGAGACAACGGGTGATCAACTGACCACAACCCTCATTCCCTGTCCCCTTGCGCCACTGCGGGGGAGTAAGTAGAGAAATCTGGAGTGAAATTCAGCCTGGGAAGATGGGGGTGGGTGGGAGGTGTTTTAAGATTTGGTTTTATTTCTCATTATCCTACTCTGATTTTGATTGGTAGTGAGTTAAATTAATTTCCCTGAGTTGAGTCTGTTTTTCCTGTGACGGTAATTGGTGAGTGATCTCTCCCTGTCCTTATCTCCACCCATGAGCCTTCCATCATATTTTTCTTCCCCTGTCCAGTTGAAGACGGAGCAGTGATAGAGTGGCTTTGTGGGCACCTGGTGTCCAGCCAAGGTCAAACCCACCACCACGTGCTTGATTTCTTCAATTTAACCATTCACTATTTTGTAATCATTAAGAAATTCAGACCAAACTTAACAATTTAAGACAGGCTTTTCACCTACTTTTCATCTTTTTCCTCTGGAAGTATCTTTAGGCTGCTAACATCGCCTTTTGTTCACATTTTCCAATACACTTTTAACACTACATAACTCCAAAATCTTTCTTTGTATTTCTGAAGTGGTAAACAGGTTGGTATGAATGACTAAATGCATTTTTGCTAGCATTATACCTGCACGTACTTCGCTTTCTTAAAAGAATGTTTAACCACTAGTATAATTTGCGACTAAGATTTTGTACCCATGATTCTCACACTAATTTAATTATTCCATTTTCAAGATGGAAAAATACAGCAAAAAGACTGTGCATCACTAAATTAGCTGTTTCAGAGAGAATTATGTACCTGTGTACTGTTAGGGATGCAGGAGTTAAAGCTTGATTCCTAGTGGTTGTTTTTTTTAACAGACCTTTTAATATGCCTAGCTCTACTGTTGTGATTAGGTGCTGACAGAAAGACAACTGAGAAGTGTCATAAACCCCACTCCTCCAATACATACAATAGTGCCATAATACATAAATGAACACATATGAATGTAAAGGTGACAGACACCAACTGAAATAATGCTTAGTGCAGGCTGAACTAAGTAGCAAGAAGGTAACACAAGAAAGAATGTAGTAGTACACCTTTTTAAACCAGGCATGGGGTGTTTATTAAAGCCTTATGCAACAAGAGGGTTAGATTTAAATGTATGCATAAGACCACATTAAAATGTATGAACCACAGTAGATAAAAGAAATTAAGATCTGTCAGTATGACAAATTGCACAATGGCAGTAAATAAGTGCGTAGGAGGCTAAATCTTAACTTATTCAAGAAATAAGCTCATAAAAATGTCATGTGTGTACAAATACTAGTTACTAGGAACTCTGATTGTCTTCTAATGAGATTCTTCTGAGAAGTATTTCATAGTCCAGCTTACAAAAGCCATTGCATACATGGTGTAAATAAATAGAAATAGTAAAATATTTCAAAGTTTTATCTGTTATCTGATATAATTAAAAAAGCAGCTTATAATGAAAAAAAAAATCTTAAAACAATCATTTTCAGTTAATCAATTGTAGCTAATAAAAAATAGGAGAATGAGGTCCAAGTTTGCAGAAGAAAATACCATTTAAGAAGTGCTTTCCATACATGCTTTTAGGTTGTAGAGCTAACACACTAGAAAGAAAACCCCACAGCAAAACAAACAACAGAAACAATTCAACTTACTTTTAGCATCCCACAAAATATCTTGTTCTGGAGGAGCAGCAAACAGAATGTAAAGACGTAGGGTGTCAATGCCATACTCTTTCACTAATTCTTCAGGGTCTATTCCATTGTGCTTAGATTTGCTCATTTTTTCCCAAGTAACTTGGAGGTTCTCACCAGTTTGTAGGTGAACTGGTTCAGTTCCTAAATATTAAGACATAGGCAAAATATTAAAACAAATTTTGCTCATTTGTAACAGCAATTAATTTTGTTCCCTAAGCATAAGAAGAAGCAACTATTTCTAATGGGGTTTTTGGTTTCCAAACAGCTTAAAGAGGAAGAACACCCTCTTCCCTCCCATGTCTTTCCTACTTTAATGTTTTAACACAAGTAATATCCCAATGCTTCCATTACATCATGGCAGAAAATCTCCTTGTACTGTTTGGAAGCTGTACCTGGCATTCATCCTATGTGCTACATTGATAGCCCCTGAGATTTAAACGCTGTTATAATGATGACATTTAAAACCTCCTAGACAGGTGTACTGATTTGGTACAATTCTGACCTGCACTTAGCTTTTACAAACAGCAGATGTATAGATTTCAATTGCAGTAAGTTATCCTGACAAGAACGTGCCTTTTGTTTGCATGAATTTAGAGATGGAAAGGGGCATTTACACTGATAAAGGTACAACCGAGCAAAACCACTGCTACAGAAAAGCTCTAGCTTTTCTGGAAGAAAATAGGATAGCAGGCAGCAGTAAACATAAGGGGGTTGGTTTGTTTGGCTTTTAACTGACTTATGGGGTTTGTATGCAGGAGAAAAACAGTGAAAAGAAGGTTGTGTGAGAGGAGTGCTTAAGGGAGGCAAACACGACCAAACCACTCCTGTTCTTACAGGTGCCCAAGCCAGGACCTGCTGCTTCAGCTTATGCAGTGAAGGCACTGGACAGAACTTGAGAAACAGCACATTTCCCTATACATGTTTTACATTCCTAATATCTACTGAATACACCAACATCTGTGTAAGCTTTGCCATGATGTTTTTGTAGGTTGTCTGTTTGCTGGGGCTACCAGCAAGTTGCTGAGCAGTGTCTTAACAATACTGACCTCTGATCTTTTGGACTACACTGGAGCTAAAATAATACCATAGCACTGTTTCTATGTTTGGATGCAATTAAAAGGTGCTGGATTAGTAGGGTCTCTGCGCACTTAGCAGTGCATATGAATCCAAAACTCACAGAAGTTGCTCTCCAGTTTAAATATTACAAGGATTCATTTTCTCTTCCAAATTCTCCCAGCACTGAGGCTTGTACACTGAAGTAGTCCTTGACTTTCTGGATGTACCTATGCTGATTTTCCCATGCAGTCTCTCTTACCAGTGAGATCAACCTCCTCCCTCTTCAAACACTGGCCTGTTGTTGTTAGCCTGAATGTCTGATTCTTGATAAGACCTTGAACCAAGAGCTTATGGAAAGGCTCCCTAAGGATGGAAAGAAAAAGAAACTTGTCTGTTGAAAAGAACTGTTAAAAGCATACTTTATGATAAGCCTCAGGTGTTAAGCCAATCAGGCACAATTAGTCAATGAAACAAGAATTTCAAGTTGACTATACAAAAATGGTCGTCACCTTAGAAAGAGTACTTTGTGTATTTATTCAGGGTGGCTGGCTGGCAAGTATAAGTATTTATTTGTATTCTGCACACATTCTAGCATCCTGATTTAGTACTGAGTTATTCTAACGTCACTTTTCAAATTAGCATATGGATAATACACAAAAGTTTCTTTGCCAACAGTGCAATTTCACTAACTTTACGCTAAATTCCCATGTGTAAAAGCGTTCAAGTACCTGGCCTCGCTGTCTTACAAATATTTAGTTCTAGCTTCTCTCTGAGGAGCACAGTATTTTGAACGAATCAAAATCTTGCTGCATGTTTCCTTCTATAAACGGAGAAGATAGTTTCTCTAACATAAGCACTTGCATGCCTTGTCCCTTTGCAGAACTAGCTGTAAGAAAAAAGTACACTAGAAAAACGGCATTTTTTTTTTCCAATGCTGGAAAGTTCATATGTCAGTGGATTAATTTTTTAGCATCTTGAACATGAAAACTTTACTTTTCTAGCAAAATTTACACCAGGAAGAGTAAACTCTCATCAAATGTCTGTATGACAGAGTTAAAAAGAGCCTTAAAAGCACCAAAGCTAAGGGCAGTAGTGCACTCAGCAAGAAATAAACTCTAAGTAAAGACTGCTCTGGTTGACAGATACATTATTGTATCTGCCTTTAATGATCCTGCATTTCTGATTCATCGAGTGAGACGCCTGTCCCTGTTTTCACTGAAAAAAACAACAACAAAATTAATCTCTAGAGGTGTTGGTCTCCCCAACTCAATGGGCCAGGAAAGGCAGTTCTAACAGCAACCCCAAGAACAGTAGGGGCCAGGGAGGAGGTATGGAGCCAGACCCAGAAGGAGGCATACACAGTCTGAGGAGTCTTCTCATGCATCCTCCAACACAAAGACACTGGTGACCATCATTTTAGAGGACGTGCTAATCAGCGCTGGTTACTACTGACTTGCATCTCCTAATGCTCACATATGTGCTCAACATTAAGCAATCTGAATCCTCCATACTTCCACCTAACAAAGCCCCACATTTTTACCAGAACAACTTCATTGGTTTTTTCGATCGTCTATAAAAAGGATGCATTACTTCTATTTACTTATTTTCAGAAAGCTAGAATAAATCCATCTAAAGAAGAAATAGTAAAACCAGACTTCCACATTTTACTTCACATGGACAAAAAAGTCATAATCCAAAACACTACTCACTTTTAAGGAGTTAATTAAGTACTTTACATTATTAGGAAATATAAGTTATATGATAATTTATTTTGTGATTTAAAACACAGTAATTTCTTTAATAATATAAAGTATTATTAAATTATATAAAACTATGCATGTTTTAACTGTATTAAAACAGATCTCTTCCACATACTAGTCTTTAAACCCTTTTGATGACTCTGAAGTAAGGAGATATTTGAAAGAAAAGTCTTAAACTGGGAGAGAGAAAGTGACAGGCTTCATTCTTTATCTTCAACATATTAATGTTTGAACATGAGTTTCCTTCCTTGAATCCTTTGTATACTTCTAAATATTGTGCAAGTACAGGCACATAGTGGTGTATTGTTCAGACACCAAGCAGCACTAGTCCCTACCATGCCACCTGGTTTTATCAACAATGTTAATTAAGAGTAGCAATTCAAGCATCTCTATAAATATTTTCTAGACAATATTTCACAGGTTGCCTGAAAAATCCTGGTGTTTAGAAATAAATTAAAGGAACTTAAGGAGATGGGAACTGAGGTCAAATTTAGACAGTACAATCAAGAAAAAGTTTTTTTAAAAATAGGAGGCAAAAATTATCTAAAATATCAAATAAGTATCTCAAATTATCCAAGTGAATTAGAAGATGAAAATTGGGAACAAAACCCAAATTGTGGAAAAATGCTTCAAGAGATAACTGTTCAGGATAACTTTCTTCTACAAACTAAAAACATTACATCAATGAAAAATAAAAATAATTTTCCCCCTATCATTCAGTACTTCAGTCTGTTTAAGATCTCAAACAGTTACTAAAACAGCTACACTTGCTGCTATCTAAAATAAAGGTAATGAGGTAGCCAGAACATCCCAATCAGACAGGGTCCTCCACTGGAAGTGATTTTGCAAGGAACGCTTATTTTTAATGACAAAGAGCGAGTTCAGATCATATGCCAAGTTATTAAAAGCTGAATGCAGGAATGAGCATTTCCTATTTTTGTTTATGCTGACAGAGGTTACAAAAATGCAACAGAAAATACATTACCAAGTATGGGGAAAAAAACCCCCACGTCTTCCTAGTGGGAGACCGCAGGAGAATGGAGACATGCCCAAAATGAGAAAACCAGAGCCTGTCTAATAAACACAGGGCTCAAACAAATTAAGCCCTGTACTGAATTTCTCCCATGTGCAGTGATTTTGCCAGTGGTGTGGTGGCTCCATCTCATGGTCACATGGAAAGTTACACTTTTATTTACATTAATAAATCCACACACCTAAAACCTTCCCCTTCGAATTAAGCAATGTGTTTCTGGGCTGTGGAAGGGGACTGCCAAGATGCCGCAGCACATCAGGTGTGATGCAATTCTGATCTAAACACTGCATTTAGGTCATGCATTTATGGCCTAGCATCATAAATACCTCGTGAGCCATACCACTGGGAACAACTGAAACTCAGCTATGTTCGGACAGACAGACATTTCTGGCACAGTAAACAAAGAGGTGGCTTGAATTTTTTTGAATGCTTGATCATATTTCAAGTTGTAAGGTTGCTGGAACAGTATACACCTTCACCTGCCTGTAAGTGTGTTTGCACCCATGCTGGAGCATGGGCACTGTGGCTTTAGTTGTGTGCAGCTTTTGATTGTGTTGTACGTCAGATGGGACCCCATCTGTGAAGTCTGCCTGATGCCTCCAAGAAGGATCAGCTGTGCTAGCCATGAACTGTGTAATGCATCTTTTTCCCTTCAGTAATGTTTATACACAGGTTAATTTCTATGATAGACCAATCTCTTTATACAGGAGCACGCAACGGATGGAGGTGCAAGCGTGACTGACAGATCAGGAACTCCTGCTCAGGGCCATGTCCTCAGGCTCCTTGCTTTGCTCTGTGCAAGGTGACTAGCGAGACTTTCAATCCAATTACAAATGACCTGGAAAGACTCTGGAACCTCCAACAGTGATAAAGAGTGGACTCAGAAGAATGGATAGCTCTAGCAAGGATCCTCACTGCATGTATTTGCATCCCAGCACTTCTAGAACGGCTGAGAGAGCCCAAAGCTGTGCCCTAGAGTCAGATGACCTTGGTCGGTCACTGTCAGCTGAATTCAGGTGCTTGTGAAACCTACAGTTAGAGCTATCTATAACAATCTGGCAATCTGTAGAAGGCGAGAAGCGATTAGGGGATGTGGGAGCTGATCATTTTAGGCAGAAAAAAGATCAAACAATATTGAACATTCAGATTTTACACAGTCGATAGCTGAGTGCTTTTACTTAAAATCAACACTAGTGATAAAGTCCCTAATGAACGTAGAGAAGCTCTAATGTCCTTCCTTTACAGAATAAGCTATTTCTGTCACACACATATTTTATTCTGCAATGCAGCTATATAAAAATAGTGCCTTCTTACTCAACAGATTTGCTCTCTATCACAGTCAAATCTGCTGACTTAATGGCAACAATAAACTTTTTTATTGCTTTGTAATCCTTCAGAGAGACTGTGCTAAATTCCATTTACAATTATTCACCAGACAGAACTGATTACTAAAGTCTAGGGAAGAGCCAAATTCTGTGTAACTTGCACTCACAATAATACAGTTGAGCGGGTGTGACTGTGTTGGTGGATTAAGCTGGAAGGGCTGAGGAGGTTGCTGGCCCCAGCTGCCTACCTGGCCCATCTCCCAGCGGTGGTCACAGCTGGGAGGGCTAACTGGCTTCTGAATTAATTCCAGAACCGATGCACTTTACAGACGAGATTGCTAGAACAAAATGACATCAATTTGAGCTTAATCTGTTGTCACATGTACCAATACCCAGAGGGTGCTATTTATTCTGCATTGTCATCACTGAGGAAATGAGCAGCATTTCCCACCGTCTCCAGTTCAATGCATTAAAAAAATAAAAGATCATGCCCCATCTTCAGGGGGTATTTAAACTATATTGACACCTTTAGAATTTCAGATGCCTATAAACAATGCATTTTCCATGGAAGCATGTGTGACAGCTGTAAACGGCCTATAATGTTTCTATTGTAATAATGTACATCATATTTGAAGATTGCTTTGAAAATCTAAACTATGAAATTTTAAACTTTTGTTTTCAACCTCATTATTATATAAATAGCCATTAGTACAGAATTAAAGACTATCTGAAAATATTTCAGTGGATTTGAAAGTCAGAGGATAGGAGCCAAACAATGAACATTCCCATGAAGAAAACCTACAAAAATGAAAAATTACTACAGATTAATAGGGGAATCATAACAAATTTGTCAGGATACTAGATAACACACTTTTAATGGTGGCAGCTCTCATTAACTGAGATGTGGCAGAATTTTACTAATTTAATCTGTAAACAATAACTGAGCTAATAGAGAATGACTGAAAATGCACAAGAGGGCAGTGTTTTTTAACCTTAAAATGCTTTCCCTCGGAGCTGTGGGCTTCAGCACCATGACTTTAAGGTTCCTAACAATCAGCTTGTTGTTTCTAATCACCCTTTACAGATCTCTTAGGCCAGCCCTTGAGTAGTCCTAAGAGAAGACTGATCAAAAGTGGCTTCTGACCAATGCTAAAACATATTTAAGACAAGTGGGAATATTTATAAAGGACTTGAAATTTCCATATCAAAACAAAATCCTAATTTGACTTCATGGCTTAAAAGAACATAATGCCTTAAGTGCGTAGAGCTAAAGCAAGCAAACACTTTTGCATTTGATTATGAATTTGTTACAATCATCTTGTACAGTCTGAACACATGTATAAGCAGTACAAAAAGCAGATCCTAGGGGCAATGCTGTAACATATCTTCACATGTGCAACAGCTCTTGAGATTGTATATGGCCTCCAAGGAATTCTCCACAGTCTTGCAAACTACTTCTACAGAAAGCAGTTTTGATTTTCTCTGCTATTGTCACTAGACGCAGACAGTGCTTCTTTAGCATTTTTTTCACTGAAGTTAAGAGGGTTTTTCTGCAATTTACGATATTTAGACCACTCTAGGCACAGTGCTTTGGTGCTACTGCTCTGTCACAGTGGAGAATGAACAAAACACATTCCAAATTCATACAGGTACAGAATCATGGACTCTTAAAATAATGTAGGTTGGAAGGGACCTTTGGAGGTCATTTGGTCCAACCCTTTTTTCACAGCAGAGCTAACTTCAGGTTGCTCAGGGCCTTGTCCAGCTGAGTTTTGAAAATATCCAATGATGGAGATCCCAAAACCTCTCTGGTCAAACTGTTCCATCATCTTCACTGTGAAAACTATTCTCCTTCTGTCCAGCTGGACCTTGCTGCAATCTGTGACTCCTATTCCTCCTTTCTCTGTACATTTCTGAGAAGAGTCTCGTTCTGTCTTCTCTATAATCCTCCTTTAGGTAGCAGTAGACTGCAATTACATTCCCTCCTTAGCCTTCTCTTCTCCATAGTGAACATGCACAACTCCCTTAGCTTCTCCTTGTATGCCATATGCTCCACAGCCCCTGACTATCTTAGTGCCCCTCCACTAGATCCTCTTCAGTTTAATAATGTCCCTCACACTTGGCAAGCCTCAAAACTGGACACAATATTCCAGATGTGCCTTCGTGAGTGATCAGCGGAGATAAGCTAAGCTGGACGTGCTTTTGCTAATGCAGCGCCGTATACTCTTAATGCCTACTGCTGACTCATGTCTAATGTGGTGGTCATCAGGACCCCTAAAGCCCTTCTTTGTTGTAATCCTCGTCACATAGTTGGCACAGCCCCAGCTGTTTCTGTGGCTAATCTGCTCCATGTACCCGAGATTCCTGTCAGCACTTCAGACTTGCTCCTTCAATTCAAAGTCCTCTGCACAGCAGTCCTGCCATCCAGTGTATCAATGGCTTCCCCCAGCATGTGGTGATCAATGAACTTGCTGAGGGTGCGCTTTGTTGAACTGCCCAGGTTGTTGTTGAAGATGTTAAATACAATTGGCCTCAGCAGTGACCCCTGAGGAACACCACTTGCAAATAGCTGCCAGTCAGACTTTGAACATTGACCCTTTGAGCCTGATGGTCCAGACAGTTTTTCCATCCATACTGTAGTTCACCTATTCAATTTGTATCTCCCCAGTCAAACTAAAAGGACAACATGTGAGAACTTAAGAGCCTTGCTAAAGTCATAGTAAAAGACATGCACAGCTCTTCTCCTCATCCACAGAGGGAATTGTCTCACCATAGAAGGAAGGCAGATTAAGTTGGGCATAATTTCCCATGGATTGGTAAATCCATGGTGGCTACTCCCAGTCACCTTGTCTTTCATGTGCCTGAAAATTACTTTCAAGATGATTTACTTTAAAATATTCTTGGGGACGAATGTGAGGCTGACCTTCTTGCCTGTTCCTGAAGATGAGTTTTGCATCTGCCTTTCTCCAGTCAACAGCTACATTGCCTGATCACCATGATCTTTCAAAAAAAAAAAAAAAAGCAACCTTACAGTGGTAAAGGTCAGCTCCATCAGCACCCTTAGATACATCCCATTTGGTCCCCTGGACTTGTACGTGTCTGGTTTAGAGTAGGGTTGAATTAGGGATCACTTCACTGGGTAGTACCTTTCTCCACCAAACTCTCCTACTAAGCACAGACTTTGACAGCAAAAGTCAAGGCAAGATTGGTTTTTGTTACTAGGTTCTTTGTCTGATTTTGTTTCAGGCCAACATTTTCCTTGATGTTCTTGTCAATGTATCTGCAGAAGCCCTTCTTACTGCCCTCACATTCTTCACCAATTTCAATTCTAGATGAGCTTTGGTCTTTCCTAATTCCACTCTGCCTACCAAGCTAATGCTTCCACATCCTTCCAGGGATAGCCCATCCTCACTTCCACTTTCCATGCACTACTTCTGGTGCTCGAGCTCATTCATAAGGTCCTTTTTCAGCCAAGCTGTCCTCTTTCCATGCCTCCTCATTTTCTTGCACACCAGAGTGGACTGCTTACTTTGCAAGCAAACCTCCCCTTCTAGTTGTTGCCAGTTTACATAGATAATCCTTCAGCCATCATAGTTAGTGTTGTTTGAATTTGCCTAACAAAAGAACATTTTGATGCTGTGTGTTACAGCTCCACTAGATGGCTGTTAGATTAGGATCATAAAGTCTTTTGTAGAACTGATAAGCCTGAAATTGCTTGGAACGAAAAGCTCTGCTTAAAAGAATAGTGTCTATGACAGAAAGGATTTGCTTTGAGAGGCCCACTCCCTCAGAGAAGGAAGAGCCTTCCTGCTGCAGCTGTGCAAGCTGTAAACAACAGGTGAAGAACACACAAATCACCCAAACCCAAAATCTCAAATACAGCTTTCACTGCAAACTATTTTGCAGACAAGAATGAGTGATGAAAATGCACTGCCTGTTTTCATCAAATGATTATGAAATAACTCAGGGAAATATTCTGCTGGCTCCACTAACTAGTTCATCTTTTTCTGGTGCACAGCTACTTAAGTTCTAGTTTTGTAGCAAAACTGCTGCATTCAAGAGAATTCACTGCCATGCATATGTAAGGCTCCTCTTTTACATCAAGTTTTTAGAGTGGATACTGGCAAAGAATGAACGCATATGAGTTGCCAGCTGAGAAATTACTGAGCAGTTGTTCTCATGGCATCACTCATTTTGACTCAATCTATTCAAACATCTCTGCTGATGGGAGAACTGGACAGAGCATGGGGCAGTGTTTCACTATTCTGACACCAGTATCCTCCCTGTTGAGGCAGGAGTAAAAAAGGGGCAGAATTTCAGTGGAAATGGGGGCATCAAGCTGGGAACTTGAGAGGACAAGAAACAGAACATCAGATGACTCACCTTCCTGCCTCAAACTTTACCTCTAACCAAAACAGAGGATAATGAAGAGACTACAGCAGCATCAGCAACAAGAGTAGTTAAAAGTAATTACATAACAGTCATTAAATAAAAAATAAATTGACAGCAGATGCATATACTGCTTTTGCTTATCAGGAACTGTTTTGCACTGTTCAGCTCCAATACTGCAGTGAATTATAGAAGTGCTTGATTTCTTCATATGCATGGTTCCACTGAAATTGATGGTATTACTGTGCATGAAGTTACCTAATTTGAAATAATAGCACCACTCAGAATGCCTGAAGTTACTAGTTTATGCAAGCTTTTGCAGGCTGAAAATCTACAGCAACATTTTATCACTTGCTCTAGGCCAGTTAATACTCAACATGTAATAAAAATGCTATGTATGTATGCACACAGAAAATGCAACTGACTGTAAGAAACCAAGTAGTTAGCCAACACTGACAAGCAGGAAAATTTAGGCTTATTCAACGTAACGTTCTGCATCGTAACAATGTCCACTAACACTCTTGCTTTTCAAATGAAATATGAAAGATTTTAATAGAAATATATAAGGCTTACTTGTGTTTTGTCATCTTTAGGTCATGGCAAAAATGACTGAAAAACCTTGCATAGAATAAGTGCATAACTGCATGCTCCTTTCCTCCGATGTACAAATCCACAGGCATCCAGTAATCTGCTAAGTCACTATTAAAGGGCCTGAAAAAACACAATTATAGAAAAAATACAATTTGGAAAAGAAAGATCAGCTCTACTGAAGTAGCTCATCATATTCAACACCAGTATTTACTGAGAGGTACACATGTGTAATAAAACTTTTATTTTGCTATCAATCTATTTAATTTTAAAGAAGTGATATGCATATTAAATTATAGAGAAAATTTTAATTGCCTCTGAAAAGCAGATCCACAAAAATATTATTTTCATATATTTTAAAGACGCAACTAAGATTTCACATACGTTACCTGAGAAAGTGATGAAAAGATTTTCTTTCTCTACAAATGATTTTTTCATAAATACCCTGTGGCTAGCCTTTACATTTTTTAGTATTTATCAAGTTTTACATACAAATACATTACAGTGAAAGACAAAAGATATGCCCACTCAAAAACCGTTGATTTTTTTTTAAATTGGAGATTTGCATTGTTGCCACTAGGGGGCAATGAAGCAGTTTACTATAAGGTTGCAAAACATTTTGAAGAGTCAGAAGGGTCATTGTACTCCAACTATAGAATGCTCTATGAATCTACAGTAAATTTGTCATTTCGAACATATTTACTATGTCGTTGGAGGTCACCTGCATAGTTTCCTAGCATTGCTTACTGCTTCATTAAATATTGTTATGTCTCCTGTAACGGGCTCCTGCCTTCAAAATAGCATTTTGTATGTATGTTGTTCTTTAATATACGCTTTAAGGCCCTGTTCTAACAAATTTAGTTGTTTTGTCAGCTCATTTGATTATTCCATCTGTAATTTTTGTAATAGCAACACTGTTTCTTCACAGATGAGCCCAGAAGCAAACTGTGGATATGGGATTCATGTCTTTAGAACAAATCAAAACTAACTTTTTGACAGGGTTCCAAAATCAATAAGAGTAATTCTCCCAAATTCTAGACCTGTAAATTATGACTTATGGAAATAAAGGGTTTACCTATACGCAGTTTAGCTAAAAAAAACCCCAACCAACAAATAGATCAAATGGAGGTAGCCATCTAGTGCAGAAGTCCATAAAAATGTTATTTTTATGTATTAAACTGTCACTGGATAGGAAGCAGTCTGCAAATCTTAATAATATTAATAATAAATTCACAGCATCACTAGAAAATAATTAAATTTTATGTGACATGAAAGTGTTCACAGGAGGTATTTCTTTGGTTAAACTAAACTGGTACTGCCAATATATATATATAAAAAAAATTGGTCCAGCTATATTAAATCACTTGGTATGCAGTATGTAGCCAGAAACCACTCTGGACAACAAATAAATAAATAAATAAATCCCCAAACAGCCCTACATGTGATATCAATATCTAAAAAATGCAAGTCTTTCTATTTTCCTCAGACTACGTAGTAGAGCTGTTCCACTAATTCCTCTTTGGAAAAAGCGGCGCTATTAACAGCGTTACTACAGGCAGACTACGAAGCAGAAAAACAGCTAAATAACTACCTCTATCTTCCCACACTCTCCATGCTGCAGTCACTAACACAACAGCATGTGAAAAATCTCCTTTCATTAATTATGCATATAGTTGAAGTGCCAACACAGCAGGAGCTTGCTGCGATGCCTCTTCACTTTAGGACTGTGCACAGGGAAGTAGCAAGAGTTACCAGAATTCAAAAGGAGAGAAATGAGGGTGCTGTTCTTGGCAGCTGGATGTTACATCGGACTATTCCTTTTCTTACTGGTGGAAAAGCACTGCCTGTCCACATGCTGAAATACTCAGTGTATTGCCAGGGAGGGTACGCTCCATGCAACTCCCCACAGGCTCAGTTAGAGTCTTGATAGGCTGTCATTCTTGACGGCATCCTCCACCAAGGACTATCTTCAGCTCCTCAGCTGAAGATTTCCTCTGTGCCCTGCCCCATTATGCCCTTTCACACAAACTTCAGCCCCTTGCCCTGTGACTCCTGTGCTTACACAATTGTGTCTACACATCCTGCTCTTGCAGATCTCCCGGCATGGGAGCAACCAAATGCCACATTTTTAGAGCAATTCCTAGTTCATGCTGTGCTGCGCTCAGGCCACAGCATGGGCACAAAATCAGGGCAGCACAGGGGTTAACGTCACCTTCTACCAAGGCAGATAGAAGCTATAAGCACCAGAGTGTCTGGCCGCTTCCTTCCCTTCTATTCCGTGAAGCGGGCTTGCCCACTCATCGGCCCTGAACCTGCAGCCCTCACCTGTCCATGTTGTGAGGGTCAGTGTACCTCAGGTAGTACCAAGCGGAATCAACAAATGTATCCATGGTATCGACTTCGCGCCGCGCTGCTGCCTTACACCTGAGCAAGAGAGACGGACAAGAGGTGTTTTTAGATAAGTGACAAGCTTGGGAAAAAACCAAACAACTGTGTACAGTGTGGTCACAAAGACATTTAGATTGAAAACGGAATGGGTCTGTACAGTCTGAAGAGTGACATGTCCAGAAAAAGTCCAACACCAGTAACAGGGCTCACTCTCCTTCCCAAAGTAAATACAAACCAAAAAGAAGCCTGAACAGCTATAATGCCAAGCAACAGCAGAAGATAGCACTGCAACGGACAGCCCTCTCAATCATATGTGCCCAGAATTTTTTAGAATTGCCATTTTAAAAGAAATTAAAAAAAACAAAGAAAATCTTAAAGCACAGACAAGTGTACTTCGTGATAAAGTTAATAGGTACTGAATATATATTGCACTCGTTAGGTATTAGCAGACAAATCATCTTATAAACATTCAACAGAAGGGGCAGGTGGTTGCCTCTCTGATTATCAGTACAAAAAGGTCTTTGCAGATTCCATTTATCATCTCTAGAAAAAACAAACTTAGTTTAATTTCAGCTTTCACTGAGACGTAGCAAATCTCTTCTAGACCTTGTAGCACAATTTAAATTTGTGATTACGGCAAATCAGTTTTTGCTTGGAGTTATATTGGCAGCCCTGAGAAACACTTTTAAAACAAATTTTAGAAGCTCAGGTTTCCTTCTGCTAGTTTCTGCCTGAATATAAATTATTTGTTTGTAGAGGCCAATGATCACATTTAATAAACTTTCATTAGTTGTAATTGAACCCTCTTTAAAACTCTTACTGTTAAAACAATGGGATTATTCTAATATAAATAAAATTTTGCAACCTGTGACATACTTGCATGTAAATACCACTGGCTATATGAAACAAATGTATGTAATTTGTAAATGTACACAAATGTAAATGTATGTATCTGTGTAATAAATATACATAATAAATGTGCACTGGCTATTTAATATTTTCTAGCTGCATATTTAGTCTGTGATCAAGCTTGGTGACTGAGCTGCAGCATGTATCTGCCTATCTGCCTGATACTTCAGCATGGCTTGCGGAGGCAAGTTTCAGAAAGTATTGCCACTTAACATTTCTCTTTGCTCCACCTCTGCCCCAGGTCCTTCTCTACCAGCAAGTTTTTCTTTCAATAGGAATAATGTAGTGAAGAAAATTTACTTCAAACTTTTTTTTTTTAAAACAGAATAACCATTTTATTAAATTGTGCATATAAGCAGAGACTTAGCCAATGTAAAATAATACTGTATTATATTGAAACAGAACGGCTTTTCAGTCAAAAGCAAGAACACTTTACAGTCATTGAACTATAATTATATCTGCTTCATGCCTCTGATGTTGCCTGTACTCTAAATGGACATGGCTCACTAAGACCCAGACGGTGTGGGCATCTTTCAGAATTTATACAACAGACACAATACTGTAATCTCATTAGATGATCTTCAGACAACTAACACAATTACCTGGACTTGTATAACAATGAATAACTTGAGCATCTCCTCCCATTTATGATTGCTTACATTGTTGTCATTCAAATACTCACAGACTTTTCTATCTTTCCATCTTGCTTTCCATATTAGTTCTAGATATTAATTGCAACTAATGAAAAAAATACTGTTACTGGAGAGAAGGACTAAAGGAAGGGATCATATAACTCCTCAGAGCAAGGGAAACCAAGGAAGATTGTGCAGATAAAGGCAATAGCTCAAAGGATTTGAAACCGTAACAGACATATGGATGAGCAATACTGAAGATAGCTGTCAAATAGGTGAGAATTAAGAAACCAAAAAAAGGTGAAAATTAAAAAAACACATTAATTTCAGCAAACTGCCACATTTTAGGCTAAGAAACAATCCTGTACACCTTTATTTCTGACTAAACAAATGCCCTTGATTAACTTCTAAGTAGGGCAGACACAATAAGTATCCAGAAACAATAAGGACATCAAAAGTACATTGTTGCTTGGTAAACAACAAAATCATTTTTGAATTAAGGTCAGGAGGAAGTCAGGAGCACAGACAGTGACTTTTAGTCACATCAGGAAATTTTTCAGTTGAAATTAGGAATTACAGACCAAGGCATTTCTGGGGATTTTACTAAACCCGTGGATCTTGCTTAGTAAAGCTTCCCTGCAAGAGTCACACTTCAAAATACACTACTATATGTAATTTAAATAGGCATATCTGAGAAGAAATTTTCTATGCAGAAACACGGAAATAAACGTGTGTTTTACATAAAATACATGTTATCAACAAAGATCAAAATGCATGTCCTCAGAGAACCCAGAACTGCTGTGCGGAAGCTACCCAATTAGAAATGAAAACCACGCTGATATTCTACCCTGCAAACGTTAAAATAAAGTGAGATGTTATGAAACTGCTGCATTATCAATGAGAGCCCTAACGTCATTTCTATGTCTGACTCCCCTGCCCTACTTGCCATTAGGTCAGTCTGTTAGCAGCAGCATTGCATTGCACTGCTGATGAAAAACTTCTCTGGGATAACTCATGTTCTACCAGTTCTTCTGCAGAACCTGCATACAAACTCCAATGTACAGAGTATCTAAGCAGCCCCCAAGATTAGACGACTGATTTTCATGACATCTCTCTCACTACTTAATTTAGGCTGTATTATTTCTTAAACAGCTGGACTACAAACAATAAAGATTACAACACTGACAAGATGCATATACTTACTATCTCCTTCAATCTGAATTACATGCTGTCATCTCTAATATACAGTGAATGTGATTCTCCCTGATAAAGAATTATATAGCTGAGGAAACACTTTAGTGTTGGACTAATGCTAAGAAAATGAACACAATGTTAGTTACCTTAACAAAAGGAAATAATTCAATAATCATTATAAGCTTTATGTGAACTCTGCTGGTGAAAGATAATGAAAATTCTTGTAGTAAATGAAGTGAGAAATACTGTTAAGAAATGGAGAACAGGGAGAAAATAATTCTTTTTTCCCTTTTTTTTCCCCCTCCAACTTAAAAACAGTGAGCTTTGCTTCAGCTTGTTTATGAAGAAATAGCAGTAGGCGCCCGTGTTGCAAAAAGGGAGTTTTACAGAGAAAAATATCCTAGGCTGGGTCAGACTAAACATCATTGTGGAGTAGTATCCTGGCTCAGAGCAGGCACTTGTCAACATTTACGGAAAGAGCACAAGAACAAGGCAGGTGAAAAGCAGTCTCTCCCAGTCTGCAGTAACGGCAGCATTGGCTTACCTTGGACAGGAACAGTTCACCCATTCTGGAACAGTTTCTAAAGGTGAGGCTCCCTTTCCCGTGAAGGTGGTTACATTGGGCAACACCACAGGTAACTCTTCATAAGGTACGGGGACAGTGCCGCATGTCCGGCAGTGAATGATAGGAATAGGTGTTCCCCAGTACCGCTGTCGAGATATTAACCAGTCTCTTAACTTGTCACTTGTTAGGTCTCCACCTATTCCTTTATTTTTGGCCTGCTGGGTAATAGCTTTTAAAGCCTCCTGCCGAGTCATGCCTGTGATCTGATTAAAAAAAGAGACAGGCAGAAGAAGAAAGAAAAATGTATATTTGCTGTCAGTGAAAATGCAAGAACAGACAAAAAAAGTCACAAATGCCATTTCTGAGAGTCAAAGTTTATGAGCCTCATATTAATTTTCCCCATCCCGCTGCTTAACATCCTTCTATCCAAGAGACTATTCACATGCCAGTTATTTGATTCATTTAAATCCCCTTAATCAAAGGGTAAAGTTCTTGCTGGCCTGGTAGAACAAGGTTGAGAAAGAGACCTGTAGACCCCTTCAGCCTTTATTGGCTGCCATGTACATTTACTGCTGATATTTTAATCAACTGCTGTATGCTGAAACATCCAGAATATCACCAACTCAAGGCAGAGACTGAGGAAATGTGGATGTTGAAACGGCTTGCTCTCTCCGGCATTCATCTGGGGTTTTTCTATTCTTACTTTCAGATACATCTTGACCACTTAGACCCTACCTGTCACGTAAAAGAATATGAGCTTTGTGTCTGCTATCAAATGCATTTTTTCCAAGAGCTATAACACCATATATATTTTATATTTAAATATAAAATTTCTATGTCACTTCAGGCAGATATATTACCAGAAAAGCTTACGCCAGATTTCAATGAATATGTGGAAAAAGGACTAACATATTAATATTTAGCTTAAAAATGTATTGGGATGATGAAATAAGAATCAACTTTTAACATAGGATCAATTATTCAGTTTCCATTACAAAGCTCAGACCAATGCTGTAGCTTCTTCTCCTGC